CCATATTTACACTTTATAATGTAAATCTTATACATGTAGTCCCATATTAAATCAGTTATATTTTTTTAATTTCTGGATGGACTGTATAGTACAAATGACAGCAATATATGACCACAATGACTACAAAATTTTGTTCGCATCAATTTAGAGTGCCAGCCTGTCCTCTTTTTATTCAAAATATTGAATTGTAAACAAATTTCAGTAGTTTTCTTGCCTCAAACTGACTCGTATGACAAAATTATTTGTCAGTATCAACCAAAACTGTCTATATTTGAACTTTATAATGTATATCTTATAGTCACATAGTAAAAAAGTAATATTTTTTATGTCAGGATTGATTGTATTATACAAATGATGCCAATTTTGGAACACAATGACTACAAAGTTTTATTCGCATCAATTAAGAGTGCTAACATGTCTTCTTTTTATTCAAAATATTGAATCGTAAACTAATTTTAGTGTCTTCATACATTAGATTGACTGGAATAACAAAATTATTTGTCTGCATCAACCAAAACTGACCATATTTACAATTTATAATGTAAATCTTATAGTGCCATAGTAAATCAGTTATATTTTTATGTCAGGATCACTGCATGAAACTTTATATTTAATTTGTAATTATACCCTTGATAAGCTACAGTTAAATTCTCATTTTAAATGTATACTTTAAGTTTATTTTTCATTTAAATTTCGCATTTAATTGTGGTTTAATTTGAATTTAAGCTATTAATTAAATTCCTACATTTAATTGTGGTTTAAATCAACCTTTATGGTAGCTTAAATTTAATGTATAAGTAAGTTTAAATGAAGTTATATTTGCATAAATTCTTAATTTAAGCAAGAATAGTTCAATTTAATCTTCATTTTACTTAAAATTTATGTGCAATTAAGCAAATATAAATACATATTTTCAAAGTTTATTTTAATTTAATCTTTACTATACTAGACATTTAAGAAAATTTAATCAAACATTATATAGATATTTTGAAAGTTTAATTTTAAATAATCTTCATTTTACTAGACATTTAAGAAAATTTAATCAAACATTATATAGATATTTTAAAAGTTTAATTTTGAATAATCTTCATTTTACTAGACATTTAAGTCTGAATTTAAGCAAGTTTATTTTAATTCATATTTACAAAATAAATGAATTTAAGCAAATATTAAATTGCTATATTACAAGTTTAGCTGCATTTAATCTTCACTTTATCCAACATTTAAGTCTTTCTTTAGGAATAAATGTTTAGTTTAACAACAACTTGGACTTTGCTCATTTTTGAAGGCCGTACGGTGACCTAAAGTAGTTAAATTCTGTGTCATTTGGTCTCTTGTGGAGAGTTGTCTCATTGGCAATCATACCACATCTTCTTTTTTTTAATATTATCTGAAATTAAATTTGAATAAAAGTAGGATTCAAGAAAAAATACTGAATTTAAATATTAAAGCAGCTTTTCTTTTAAATCGGGATTAAACTTTTTGATCTATTTGTGTTTGATTTGCTTAAGATTCTATGTATAATGTATACAATATAGATACTATGGGTTTGAATCCATAAAATGTATATACTTTTTCAATGAAGCAGGCGAGTTACTTTGCCTGCTTAATATTCTGTTGGAATCCACATTATGTTTTGTACTTGCAAACATATTGTTATTCAAAGGTACAAAAGTAGTTTACCGGCCACTTGTCTTGAAACTTAACCATATTAACAGACTCTTAAGAACATGAAATGATAAAATTAAAGCAGCACTATATTAAAATACATGTACTTGTTTAGTTTTCTTCCAATATATACCCTGTAATTTATATGTTTTTCTTGCATTTTTTGGAATGATTGTTGTTGTCTTGCTGAAATTTACCCCACATCTGCCCTGTTCTTTATACAAATATGCCATCAACATCAACTAGTGTCTTTTTTTCTTTGTCAGAAGTAAAGTTCTAATTTAATTACTAGCCACAACAGTTATAACTTCATTTTGGAATATATACCAGCTAGATCCGACTGCATTGTAAGCCATTCATTCGAAACAACATAAAACATCTTTTCATTTGAACTTCATTAAATTAATTCTATCAACAAATCAGAATATAGAACATGAGTTTTGGAGTTGTCTCTCTTTAATAATTAAATAAATTCGGTTGACATGGCACAGTTGAATATTCTGATAAATTTGTGTGTACTCATCAATAAAACAATTAAAAGAAAAAAATCAGAAATAACCTCATCAGTATAGCCAGTTTAATTTTCATTAAATAAAAAATTACTGTAATCAGTGGGACATTTTTTTAAAGAAAGACCTGTGAAAAAACTTATTTTATGGAATTACCAATACTGTAAATCAGATATTAACTTTACATGACCTTTCAGCCAATAGAAAAAAACAAGCAAATACAAATATTCACATGCTTATTATACTTAGATCTTCTTTTCATTTGAAATATCAAGAATGTTTGGAAATTGTGAGAAAAAAAGTCAGCTAAAAGCAATGAATGTGAAGATAAATAAAGATAAGACTGTTTCAGTGAGTAGATTGAAATCTTATTTTTACTTTTTGGGAAAACAATTTGATATATATGAACAAAAATCATATTAAAACAATGACATAAATATTCAAACAATCTCACCATACCACAAAGGTTATAACAAACAATTATAAAAAAAGGACTTACTTCCCCTAGATTAGAGAAGTACAGAATGTCCTTGATATCAAAGCTATATGTTTACATGGATTATTTTGAGTTAGGCTACTTGTATTTATCATAAATGAGGTTCTTAATTTGATATCTTATGTAGACAAGACAGATAAAATATGTTACAAAGTAATCACTTACAATTCATTTTGTACTATCAAACTTAAAGCAGATAAAAGTACATAGCAAATAAATTTTACTGTCATTGAAATGTATTTTGTTATAACTAGCATATGACACATACAGTCACCCATCAGATTATACTATGAGTATGGACAACACAGATATTTCCACGCCCCCACATTGTAAATCACATACAACTCCATAATTGTACTTTAAAAACCTTGCAAATTAAATACATTTGTAATTTACATTGAATTAAAAATGTTTGAGTTACTTCTCCTAGATCAGAAGAGTCAAGTATGTCCTTTATCAATTCTACTCTGTTGTTAAAGCTATATTAACATGTTTTATTTCTAGATGGGATACTTTTATTCATCATAAAGGAGGTTTTGAATTTGAAATCTTATGTAGATAATGGTTGATAAAAATGTGTAGTAGCGTAATGAATTACAATACCATCAAGCTAAATTAAGATAAAACTTTTCAAAGAAGATTTATTTGCAAATGCATTTACTTCATTGAAGTATGTTTTTAGAACTAACAAATGATACAAAGTCACCAATGACGTTAATGCACGACACACATTTTCCCACACCCCAGCATTGTAAATCAGTAACAACTACTTAATTGTACTGTAATTATAACTTTAAAAACTTGTTGACAGGGATATTCAAGAAACAAATCCAAAATATCTGCACTTAAAAATGTTTCAGTTACTTCCCCTAGATCAGAAAATTCTACCCTATTGTTAAATCTCCATTTACAAATTACATGTAGCATAAATTAGGTATTGACTTTCATATTTTATGTAGATAAACTAGGATAAAAATATGTTACATTTATAAAAAATTACACTACCATCCAATTAATTGCAAATTAAAGTACACACAAAATTAGTTATACTGCCCATCAAAATAAATATTGTCATAACTAACAAATGACATAAAATACTATTTTGTTGAATACAAACAATACATGTATATAAGATTTCTGACCTCAAAAATATTTATAATCAGAATAATTTGAAATTAAGAATCACCAGTTAATATTATAATTTCAATTTGAACTAGGCGTGTAATTGTCATTGAAAATAAAGTAGCTAAATTTAATACTTATAATTTCATTTAAATATATACATGTGTATAGCAAGTCATTAAAATCATTTATTAACATACACATTTTGACTTATTGATTGAAAGCTGTTGAACTACAGGCAATTTCTCTTCTATCTTGAAAGCTATTGAATTTCACATTTATAATATCAACTTTACATGTATTCATTCAAACTAGTTAACTCAAAGAAAAATTATAAATATCTCCCATCATTTATACAAACAAATGTTTATAATTCATCTTATGTATAATGTATGTGTGTATCAAATAAAACTATTTCGTTAAAGTGGAGTTACCTCCCCTATATGACAATAATTGATACTTCTGTAAGAAAAATAACTATTGATAGTAGAAACCTAATTGAATGAATAAATCACCATGTATGTCAGGTACTTTTTTAAATCTTCAAAATTTCCAATTTTCAACCACTTTAGTTGAAGTTTTTTTCCTAATGAGCCATTGATATAATCTGGAAGCAATATCTTCTTAGCTTTAAAGTGTTTTTCTTGGTACCTGAAATTAATAAATGCATAAATTTAAATATTAAATATAATGCAGGTTATACATGTGAAAAAATATATAGCCAAACATGTATGTTAGTTTTTTTCATGAATGATAATTTTGGTAATACAGATTTGCAGGTAATCTTATATATTAATGCTACTTAATTATATTAAGATTAAGTACGAATTTTTAAAATACAATTTGGAAAAAAATACCAGTAAGTCATGTAGGTATAAAATTAAGACAGTTGCCTTATGCATGCCTCTGTTTTTTCCTTTTTATTTGAAAATATGTCTGTTATTTTCTATCATGCCAGGGTTTTTTTTGTTTTTGTTTTTTTTATTTGAAATCATAAAATGTCTTTAAGTTTAAACAAAAGATATCTATTTGAAATCAAGAATAAAGCACACAAAACATACAGTTAATATTGAAACAAATAATTTGAAAGGTATTATGTTTGTTTGCAGTTTGCACTGGAGACGAAATAGAGTTAAACTACTTCAAACACATCTGTTACATATAATTTGCTTTTTATCTAATAAACTAGTAAAATAGGCTCTTACATAAGTCAGAATAAAGGAATAACATGTATTTCATGTTTCAGTAATATCAAATATTATCTCATTTCATCACATACACCATAATGGGTCAGTCTTCAAACATTTCAATGGATACTGTATTTTTGCACATGTAACTGTCATATAAACTTTACAACAGCTTGCTCATAACTTCACCATACCTGAATTAAAAAAAAATAACATGCAAATGATACATTATATAAGAAAAAAAAACCTGCTTTTACTCTGCTACATGAACTTTACATGACAAATATGACACTATTCAAACAAGAAAACTATTAACATGATTAATGGCCAAAAAATATAAATTTTCAACTCTTTGGTTTTAACTAGCCAAAGCTTGAAATCCATGACCTTCACACTCTAGATCATTGTTCATATTACAATCAGATTCTGTAGGGAACCAAATTTGTCTAACATGTGTACTTGCACTAAAACTAGTAGAATACTAGCTACTACCATCTATATTATATGTAAATGTCATCATTTTGAAATGGAATACGCATATCATCATGATCATTGATAAGATTTTATTTATCTAAACAATTAAGAAAATACAAACTACATGTACATGTATGAAGTCATTTTTTAACTATGAATTGCAATGGTTCTCTGAACCACAATGGTCATGCGGTAGTCCAGTGGTTTACTGCTAAAGTATTACTCTATCTTGTTGAGAGTTACACAGAAGTTTTTGGTAGTAACGCTGAAGTGTGATTGACTACATAAACTTTATATTTTATATATTTTTTTCATTTTGATATGTTGATACAGAAGCCAAATTGTTTGTTCCATTTATATCTTGATATTGTATGGTGACATGTCAGACTATCATTTTTTTCCACTCTGTATACATAAATGGCATGCGTGTAAAAATCAGAAAAGCATCTTTAATGTTTTAAAGTATATCATCACCCTTCTAATGTAAAACATTCATGTCCTTGATAAATAGTCATTGAATTTCCAGTAAGGCTGTTAAAGTGTAAACAGGTAAATCATGTAAATAGGCTTAAACAAACGAAAGCCAAGGTTCATAAATTCACTATGAAAGCTTAGTTCTAAGATCATTTGCCTTTAAATGAAACAAGTACTATACTAAATTCAATTACAAAAGTTGTTTGATATACACTTCATGCAAATACTACTTTGAAAGACAAATCTTTTTGGATGCCTGCATGTGATCAAGGAACAAAATGGATTACTGTACACAGTATTTACTACAGTGTTGGGAGTAAATTGTTAAATATGTGAGACTACTATAACATTAACACTGGGTTATAACTTATAGTAGTCTCAGTAAATAATAAATGTTTGATAATGATAAGCCTGGGACTCTATCTTTTCTTTCAAAGCCAAAATACAGGGCTCGACAATAACGCTTGTTCGATTGTCCGGTACCAGAGGAAAAAAAGGTCGGACAAGTAAAAGCTATATCAAGCTTGTCCGACGGGACAAGTAAAATTATTCTGCAGAAAATAAATTTAATCCAACTTTGATGAAAAAGTAATCATAAACAAATAACAAGAAAAGAAGATAAAAACAAGTATTAATTTGACATGTTTACTTGCAATCGATAATTTAAAAACAGGTTCTTTGTCAGGTACTTTTTAACAGGTAATAGGTATACTATTCTCATGTGACATGACTAGATTCAGTTGTTCTCGACTCATATTTTTGTAAAGTATTTCAAAAGATATAAATCAAATTCTGTTCTATTGTTTTAATTCATTTTGTTCCTTGAATCAACTTAAAATGCAAAAAAGGTTATTGTAAAGATTTTTTTTGGAGAAGTTACAATTTCATTCGGACAAGTAAGTTTTGGTATGTACTTGTCCTACTGGACAAGTTGAAAATAAAGTTATTGTAGAGGCCTGAAATACTGAAAAAAGTACATTTCAAGGATTGCTTCTAGGTTACAAAATGTCCTTTATCAAATTGTGAGGTCATTTTTTAAATATAACTGGGTTAAACCCTTTCATTACCTAGGAAATTGTGTTGATGCATATATTTGAATTTGACGCTCTTCATGATGAGTTATCGAAAAAGTCTGAGGCATTGTGGCGTGAGTAACTTAAGAATGACAAACGGATCAGCAATGAATATGTTCCGAAATCGGGTATAATGCTGATATGTACGATTAATAGTGTTGTTAAATATATACATAAAATAAAGATGTATGACAAAACATCGAATTTCACAAGTAGCAAAAGTTTTAAGACTAGAAATTATAATTTAATAAAAATGATAAGTCATATTTATCTCATAACTCGAACTACATCCCGGTCCGGGGGGGGGGGGTGGTTACTGACTATCCCTTTGGTCATAACTGTATCAACAGCACTTGCAAAATCATACCCTGTTATAACCAGAAATATTGAAAAATATACCCTGTTCTCAGACACGCTCAGAAAATGTTTACCCTGTTCTAGGCCTAAATCATGCATGTATGTTCTAGACTAGTTCCGAAATATATACCCTGTCAGCAAACAAATTAATGTAAGAAAAAACATACTTGTGTCAGTTTCCCGCATCCAAACTGTTGTTTTAACTCGATTACAGGCAGTTAAATAAGCGATCCTGTTCTAGACAAATACTTTGTTTAAAAAGTGACCCTGTTCTAACCAGCAGGACATGAAAAAAGGACCCTGTTCAAACCAGCCGGTAGTGAAAAAGCGACCCTGTTTTGCGGAACAATCGTACCACTAAAATATAGGAAGTAACGTCCTGGGAACTACACTAGCATTTTATGAAATTTGAATGGATGCCTCTGTTATTTTCTATTTCATATTAAAAGTGCATGTTTTTGTGTTTTATTGAGATTTTTGTTCGAAACACGAACACGTTTAAATTTCATGGCGGTTTTGTTTTGCAAAAATGGGGATGGGGTTGCGTTTGTGTGTATGTGTGTGGGGTCTCGATAGATTTTTTTTAATTAAGTTTTTCACCAAACATTGAACTTTTGATGGGGTTCAGTAGCTGAAACTTGACCTCTAATATTTGCAAGCATCAACTGGTTCTTATGTTCTGTGTGTACCTGTATAGATATGTTGATGACTCCAATATAGCTTGTTCATTGTCTATTAACCTGTCTACCTAAATAATGTCTCATTGGCCTGGCTATCAGATATCTCATTTGGATTGGCTTTAACAATACTATGTATACTTAGTATGCTTATATATTGATATGTTTGTACAACTATCTGTGTCCACTAGCGTGGCATGCAAGATAATATTGTGACTTCGTCATATATCCACAAATCTGAGTCCATGTCTACATGGACACTCGTCTGTGTAAATGTCCATTTGTCGGTCTTCATGTCCACGAGTCTATAAACAAATGCAAGTCCCTCGATCTGTTTGATAGTCTACCAGTCTGTCTTTCTATCAACAATTAAGTCTTTTTGCATGTTCACAAGTCGGTCTACGTGTCCACCAGTCATCTAAAATGTAAACCAGTATGTGTATAGGTGTCAAGTAGGCTTCAACTGTAGAACATTGGCCTCACGACCTACAGCATGCAGAAAGTCCCGTAACACATGATATAAATGTCCACGGAAGAGAATTGGTGTGATCACCAGATCAGACCATGATTCTTATATATGTATGAATAAATCATCAGATATTGAATGTATAATTATACAATGATGGTGTGGTAGTCACTAACGCTCAACTTATAAAAAGAAAGGTACTATTTTAACTCGCCGACATTTTAAGGGGGTAAATAAGCTTATAGTCCTATAGGGGATAACACTGACCCTATCCTGTTCCCCCCATGCAATCACTTTAGTTAGAATGCGGAGACATGCCATTCTCCTGGGGGACTGGACCTCTTGAAAAAATCATATGGGGTAAAATTGAGTGGCTTTCGTTTGGTTGTGCGGGATGTAGAAATTCGCAGCCACATCAGGTCCAAATCGGGACATTAAATCCGATGCCTTGAGATAAGGGATTGGCATACATTTCTGTACGTTAAGAACCCAATAAGGTGCATGATTGAGCAAGGCTAAATGTCTCCCTATCACATTTACCATCATTTTCTAGTGGTAATCCAAATTTCCAGCTCTTCATTCGAGTCATCCCCTACTACAGGACGTACTTATTATGTGCATTGTTAAAATTGAGAATGGGGAATATGTCAAAGAGACCACAACCCGACCAAAGAGCAGACATCAACCGAAGGCTACCAATGGGTCTTCAACGCAGCAAAAAAATCCCTCAACTGGCCCCTAAATAAAATTGTGTACTAGATCAGTGAAAATGGACGTCACAGTAAACTCCAAAACTTATAAATGAACTAAAATTAAAAACCATTCAAGACTAACAAAGGCCAGAGGCTCCTGATTTGGGAAAGGCGCAAAAATGCGGCGGGGTTAAACATGTTATGTGAGATCTCAACCCCTCCTTATACCTCTAGCCAATGCAGAATAAAGAAACGCATAGCAATACACACAGTAAAACTCAAGTTAAAAGAAGTTCGAGTCCGATGTTAGAATTGGTAACAAAAGAAGAAGAAAAATGACAATGATACATAAATTAACAAAGGACTACTTGCACTTACTGACATGCCATCTCCAGACCTCAATTAAATTTATTGATTGTTAATTTAATTAATTAATCTATAATTTGTTCTCGTCATTAATTCAAATGATCAAAGGATATTACTTAAAACTATTATAGTAGGAACGATTCTGGGGTGTATAGTGGACTATCAAATACGTATATATAACAAAAAATTTGCGAAAGCAAATTTACAGATCTAACATTGTTGGGCTGATGTTTAGACGAGTTGTATATACAGAATGTACACAGCCATTTATCACCATCACTGCTGGTGATCCGATGGATAAATCTGTTGTAGAGTTGTCACTGGTTCGTACTTAAAGATATAATTATTTCTGTGACTGTATCTTGCATTAATTTGTAGGATCCTTTACAATAGATATTTCAGCTGATCTGTAACAATTCCATCTTCATGCCTTATATATCATGTACTGTATTACGACGCTAGATTAAAACGGACGAGGAAAGGTAACACCCGGCCACCGAAAGCTTTATTATTTGTGAAGCCTAGGTGGTCGAGTGGTCTAGCGCGTCGGATACAGTGCAGGCGATTTGGTGTCCCGATATCTCAGTAGCATGAGTTCGAATCCCGGCGAGGGAAGAACAACAAATTTGCGAAAGCAAATTTAAAGATCTAACATTGTTGGGCTGATGTTTAGACGAGTTATATATATATATATATATTAATTATAAGATCTATTTTGTTACATCTTGTGATCCGTTTATTTGGCAATCGCCAATGGCAGTCAGCAGGGTTTAAGAACATCAGTTGTTCGACCTCGTCAAATTAAAAACAACGTTCAAACCTATGATAGCGTTGGATAAAAACCGCAATTTTTATACGTGTGCATGCAAAACAAATTTCGTGGTAGAGGGGTCTAAATACAGCACAAACAACAGTTTCCAAAAGACCAAATGAGTGAAAAAGTATATTTTAACAAAACGCATTTGACTAGCAAGTCGAACAACTGATGTTCTTAAACCCTGCTGACTGCCATTGGTGATTGCCAAATAAACGGATCACAAGATGTAACAAAATAGATCTTTTTATTTATTTATTACCAAACAGAAAACAATAAACTTGCGGAAAAGATGGTATACCGCAAACACGAGGTGCAAAAAATGTGTACACCATATCCGGATTTCGACAATTAATGTCTCTTCAGTGATGTTAGGAATCCAAACGGTATTTGGAAGGCCATATATTTTACCTCAATTTAGGATGGACTCTTGAATTTTGAAAGAGTCAAAATAGGATGAACGGATCATATCAACCCGAAGGCAAATATAATACAAGCCCAAACGAAAAAAATATAAACAAGTCTAAATTGAAAACAATGTTCAAACCTATGATTGCGTTGGATAAAAACCGAAATATTTATACGTGTGCATGCAAAACAAATTTCTTGGTAGAGGGGTCTAAATACAGCACAAACAACATTTTCCAAAAGACCAAATGAGTGAAAAAGTATATTTTAACAAAAACGCATTTGACTAGCAGGTCGAACAACTGATGTTCTTAAACCCTGCTGACTGCCATTGGCGATTGCCAAATAAACGGATCACAAGATGTAACAAAATAGATCTTTTTATTTATTTATTACCAAACAGAAAACAATAAACTTGCGGAAAAGATGGTATACCGCAAACACGAGGTGCAAAAAATGTGTACACCATATCCGGATTTCGACAATTAATGTCTCTTCAGTGATGTTAGGAATCCAAACGGTATTTGGAAGGCCATATAATTTACCTCAATTTAGGATAGACTCTTGAATTTTGAAAGAGTCAAAATAGGATGAACGGATCATATAAACTCGAAGGCAAATATAATACAAGCCCAAACGAAAAAAATATAAACAAGTCTAAATTGAAAACAACGTTCAAACCTATGATTGCGTTGGATAAAAACCGCAATTTTTATACGTGTGCAGGCAAAACAAATTTCTTGGTAGAGGGGTCTAAATACAGCACAAACAACATTTTCCAAAAGACCAAATGAGTGAAAAGGTATATTTTAACAAAACGCATTTGACTATCAGGTCGAACAACTGATGTTCTTAAACCCTGCTGACTGCCATTGGCGATTGCCAAATAAACGGATCACAAGATGTAACAAAATAGATCTTTTTATTTATTTATTACCAAACAGAAAACAATAAACTTGCGGAAAAGATGGTATACCGCAAACACGAGGTGCAAAAAATTTGTACACCATATCCGGGTTTCGACAATTAATGTCATATATATATATATATATATATGTGTAGGTCTCGGGACCGCGATGGTACTCAGAACCGCGATGGTACTCAGAACCGCGATGGTCACGCTGAAGTGGGATGGTTCACACTGAAGTGCGTTGGTTAACACGCTGAAGTGCGATGTTGACATTGTGACGCCAACTTGTTGTTACATACGCTGAAGTGCGTTGGTGGGTACGCTGACGTCCGATGGACACACCGAGACGTCTACAGTACTAACTAAGCAGGACA